TACTCTGTATCCAGTTCTGAATTACTGTCTTTAAATTTCCATTAAAATTGTTCCCCAAAGCACTGCTCCTTCATTCAGCAAACTATCTTCCCCATGGATCTGAATCCTCAAATTCTCCCTCACTTCAGTTCCTACTGCACCTCTGCTGTCAACCTGCTGTATGACCTTTGGAAGTCTCTTCATCTCTAATAGGAAAAGGTTGGACAAGGTGGCTACTCTAAACTCAGATGAGTCTCATCTTCAATTGGGCGTGTACTGCATTATGTGCTGGGCCCTAAGAGGGATGCAGAGATGAACAAAATGCGGTCACTGCCTTCAAATAATTTACAAACTAGAAATAGACACACAGAGAACTATAACATAGGTAATAGCATCAATTATCATTAACAGAAATAACAATAATGTCCTTTAGCAGATCTGAAGAGCAGTCATTTGCAACTGGAATAATTGAAAAAATATTTTGGAGGGGATAGCTCTTTAGTGGGCCTAAAAGGATGGACAGAATATGGACAGACAGCAAAGTATTTCAGTTAGAAGGGCTGGTATGAGTAAAGTTAAGAAAATGCAAGTCAGGCTTAAGGAAAAATAAGGGTGCCACATGGTAGCTGGAGCAGATGAAAAAAAGTGGAGTGGAGGAAAAAGGTGAGGCTGGAAAAGTAGGATGGAAATATACTGTAAAGGGCCCAAATGGCATTCTAAAAGCTCACTATAGAAAATGGGAAACTGTGGGGAAAAGATCAGACTGTTACCGTGTCTATATAGAAAGAAGTAGACATAAGAGACTCCATTTTGTTCTGTATTTGAGATGCTGTTAATCTGTGACCCTACCCCCAACCTTGTCCTTGCAAGAGACATGTGCTGTGGTGACTCAAGGTTTAAAGGATTTTGGGCTGTACAGAGCGTGCTTTGTTAAACAAGTGCCTGAAGGCAGTATGCTTGTGAAAAGTCATCACCATTCTCTTAATCTCAAGTACCCAGGGACACATACACTGCCAAAGGTCGCAGGGACCTCCGCCTAGGAAAGCTAGGTATTGTCCAAGGTTTCTCCCCATGTGATAGTCTGAAATATGGCCTCGTGGGAAGGGAAACACCTAATCGTCCCCCAGCCTGACACCCATGAAGGGGCTGTGCTGAGGAGGACTAGTGTAAGAGGAAAGAAGGCCTCTTGGCAGTTGAGATAGAGAAAAGCATCTGTCTCCTGCCGGTCCCTGGGCAATGGAACATCTCCACTGTATGTTCTGTTTACTGAGAAAGGAGAAAACTGCCTTAGGGTGAAAGGTGGGACTTGCTGGCGCAATGCTGCTCTTTATGCACTAAAAAGGTTTATGGAGATATTTACATATGCATACAAAGGCACAGCACTTTTCCTTAAACTTATGTCACAGAGATCTTTATTCATATGTCTTACTGCTGACCTTCTCCCTATGATAATCCTATTATGCTGCCACTTACCTTTTTCTAAGATGGTAAAGATAATGATCAATAAATACTGAGGGAACTCAGAGATGCGTGCAGGCGTGGGTCCTCTGTATGCTGAATGCCGGTCCCCTGGGCCCACTTTTTCTTTCTCTATACTGTCTCTGTGTCTCATTTCTTTTCTCAAGTCTCTCGTTCCACCTAACGAGAAACGCCCACCCACAGGTGTGGAGGGGCAGGCCACCCCTTCAGGAAACCATGGAAAGGATTAGCACCAGATTCAGGTAAGAAAGAATTATAACATTTTAAAAAATCTTATCTTTTATATATATATATTTAAAGACAGTCTTGGCTGGGTGCCGTGGCTCACGCCTGTAATCCCAGCACTTTGGGAGGCCGAGGCAGGCGGATCACTTGAGGTCAGGAGTTCAACACCAGCCTGGTCAACATGGTGAAACTGCATCTCTACTAAAAACACAAAAAATTAGCTGGGTGTGGTGGTGGTGGCATGTGCTTGACTTTGTCTCAAAAAAAAAAAAAAAAAAAAAAGGCCGGGCTTCACTCTGTCACCCAGGCTGGAGTGCAGCAGCACAATCTTGGCTCACTGCAACCTCCGCCTCCTGGGCTTCAAGGGATGCTCCCGCCTCAGCCCTCAAGTAGCTGGGACTACAGGCACGCACACCCAGTTAACTCTGTTTTGTTTTGTAGAGATGGGTTTCACCATGTTGCTCAGGCTGGTCTCGAACTCCTGGGCTCAAGTGATCCACCCGCGTCAGCCTCCCAAAGTGTTAGGATTACACAAGTGAGCCACTGCTCCTGGTCTACAAAGTGTTTTTATTTTTATTTTTACTATTTTTTTGAGACAGAGTCCCATTCTGTCACCAGGCTGGATGCAGTGGCGTGATCTCAGCTCACTGCAACCTCTGCCTCCCGGGTTCAGGTGATTCTCCTGCCTCAGCCTCCCGACTAGCTGGGATTAGCCATGCCCGGCTAATTTTTGTATTTTTAGTAGAGACGGGGTTTCACTAGGTTGGCCAGATTGGTCTCGAACTCCTGACCTTGTGATCCACCCACCTCGGCCTCCCAAAGTGCTGGGATTACAGGCATGAGTCACAGTGCCCAGCCTATTTTTGTATTTTTAGTAGAGATGGGGTTTCACTATGTTGGCCAGGATGGTCTCGATCTCTTGACCTGGTGATCCGTCCGCCTCAGCCTCCCAAAGTGTTGGGATTACAGGCGTGAGCCACCGCGCCCAGCCTACAAAGTGTTTTAAATCAAACACTATGGATGTGTAAAAAATAAAAAGTAAAAGTTGTCCTACTTTTTTCAGACCCACTTCCCTAATAACAGTTTCTGGTGTGCCTTCACAGATATTTGCAATGTTATACAAGTTATACAAGCCTGTGGGGGTTGGGAGGATTGTAATCCTTTTTTAAAATTACAGGTTAAAATGATAGATTCATAAACCCTGCAATTTTTTCATTCAACAACACAGAAATCGTTCCATGTCCACATACATATATACATCTACTTCAACGTCTTAAATAACTGCATAGTGTTACCGAGTAATAGCGCATAATTTGGAATCCCCTGTTAACGGATATTTAGATTGTTTCTAGTCTTTTGGTGTCACACACGATATGTTACATTCTTGCATGTAATACTGTGGGGTCCTCCAGTCGCCCCCTTTCTTTCTGTGTGCTGATGGAAAATCAGAGTGCCTTGATTGCTCTCTGACCTAGCCAGCAGCAGGTTTCCCTAGCAGGCTTGACCATAAACCCGGGGCCTTGAACATTCCCAGGCCTGATAAAGGTACCTAGGTTGTTGCCCAAATCACTGGAAGAAACTGGCCTCAATCCCGAGCCAAATTCCTTTAAACTCTCATCTAACCTCCATACCCCGACCCCCTCGCTGCGGACAAACCCAGGAACACCTCTTTTCTCCCGGTGTCCGTCTTGACAATTTCTGCAGCCCTCCGTAGGTTCCCCCTAAACCCTTTTGGACTGATCGCCTTGGCATTCAGTGCTTCTTTCTCTGGCATCCCAACCAGCCACATCTCGGGAAGGTTTGAAGCACTCCCTTGTGGGAACTCCCTTGCCGCTGTTTTGGGGGCGATTCCAGCCTCGGGTTCGAAAGAACAAAATAACTGCACATTTTGTGCGCGTATACTTGCATTAAATTTTTGTAACAAGAATGACTGGATGAAAAGACATGTGAATTTAAAATGGTGATGGTTCTTGCCACATTGCCAGGACAGGATCCTTTTAGAAGAGGTAATAAATCAAGAACCTGTACAAAGAGATGTGGAATGCTCCTTGTAAGTGGACAGCTTTGCTTTTCTCCTTTAATTTCTATCTGAAGGAGAAGGCAGTGCCTGACTGCTCAGAGGCAGCGAGGCCAGGCGACGGGAGAAAACACCCTGGGGCACTCTCAGAGGCTGAACCTGAATCCCGTCTCCAGCCCTCTGAACCTGGGATCCTTCCCCCTCTGCAAATTTCGGCTACTTTCCACCTCCCCTGTGACTGGGAAAAGCGTTGTTCTTGCCCTCAACCACTCTCGTGTCCATATTTAGGGGTGCCCCTCTCCTCGGCTCAAGGCCCCGGGGTCCTCTCACCTATGGTTCTCATTAAGCAGAGAGAAGAGCGGGCCGAGGCGCAGCTCCGCCGCTTGCTCGCGAAGCTCGTTGAGCGGCACTGCCTGCAGCACTGAGTGAAGAGCTCGTAGCTCCTCCAGCGGCGCTTCCAGCCTCGCTACCTCCCTCAGCAGCGCCAAGGCCTGGGCCGCCATCTTGCCCCTCCCCACGCAGGGGCTGGCCCCGCGGCTCGGTTCCCGGGGCGCTTCCCTGAACGTCGCGAGATCTGCTGATCACAGCCTCCTTGTCCCTGAGATTGCTATGGGGCTGCCAAGCCTCGCGAGAAGTGTCCGTTAGGGCCGTGTCAACTGCAGCCAGTGGCTGCGGCTCCCTCTGTCTGGCGTCATCTAGGGCGCTGCTCAGGAGATTGCAGAGGCCAGTTTTCCAGTTGGCTTACGTCTTTATCGCGTGGGGCAAAGACTTGCCAAATTCCCGGCCAGCGGAGCGGCGAGGATGGGGACTTACGGGAAGTTAAAGAGCTTCGTGGGCGGCCTCGCGGCTCCAGAACCAGGCTCTAGGCGGCGGCGACCGCAGCCGTTAGGGAGGCCACCGCGGCTACGACCGCAGCCGTTAGGGAGGCCACCGCGGCTACGACGGCAGGTGAGGCCACCCCAGGCGGAGCGGAGGCCTGGAGGGGAATCTTGATCCTGGGCCAGACACCTGTCAAGAGGAGGCGGAGCGTGGTGCCTCCAGGAAGACTGGATGAGTATTCTCCAGGAGCCAGACAAAGGCGTGAGTAATAGGGACGTGCACCGCCTTGTTGGTGTTGATCAGTCCACCAAGGAGAAGCAGCTGTGGGCGCGGTGGCCGTGCCTGTAATCCCAGCGCTTTGGGAGGCCGCGGCGGGAGGATCGCCTGAGCCCAGGAGTTCGAAACCAGCCTGGGCAACATAGTGAGAACCCAGTCTCTACCAAAAAGGAAAAAAAAAAAAAAAAGAGGAAAAAAATTAGTGCGGTGTGGTAGCACGCACCTGTAGCCTCAGCTACTCGGGAGGCTGAAGCGGGAGGCTCACCTAAGCCTGGGAGGTCGAGGCTGCAGTGAGCTGTGATTATGCCACTGTACTCTAGCCTGGGTGACAGCAAGACCCTGCTTCCCCCCCACCTTGGCGCCCTCCCCCCCACCCCAAAACCAAGAAAAACCAGTGTGGAGAGTTGGTCGCCCATCTGCTCCAAGCTGCTGTGTATTCCCGGTAATGTAAACATCGTGAAGGTGGAGATCCAGTTAACCTTTTAGGTGGAGGGCCAGATGATAGAGGGCGACATCTGACCGGGAAGGCCATCTGCAACCAGGCCTAATACATCCACAGGGAACCAGTAGGAAACATCTGGGGAGGACAACCCAAATAAGTATCATGGGAGCAAGGGGTGGTTTGAGAACTTTAAAAATCGCTGCTGTTTTGCAATGTACCAGGTTGATGGGGAGGAAGGACCCTTAAATGCTGAGTGGGCACCGAGTATTCCAAGCAACTGGAGACTGGCTATGTGCCTCAACAGGTCTTCAACACCAAGGAGACGACCCATCTTTTCTGTGCATGCCTTCCTACTTTTGGGGCAAAAGACAAAACTCTGGAAAGCTTAGAGGAAGCTAAAGACAGGATTTCCCTCATTTTTTTTTTGTGGCAGTGCCTCAGGTGACAAAATGATAAAACCACTGCTGCTTTACAAAGACTCTAATCCCCCACTTGTCTTTCAGAAAGAGATAAACGCCTTCCTGTTTTCTTGTGACACACCCAGAATCACCATTGACACTTTATGGATTGGTTTTGTTATTTTTTTATCCATCAAGTCCGAAGTCATTTAACAGAAAAAAAAATCCGGAAATCAGAATGTTGCTAGTTGTGGACGGAGGTCCCAATCACCCAGATTCATTATTCTTTGTTCATTCTAATGTTGATTGTGTTTCTCCCTCAGGAAGGCCCTAGCTTTCTTCAGCCCTTGGGTTAGGGTATAATCGAAGCATTTGGGAGGTATTACACCAAACATATGTTTGACCACTTTGCTGACTGTATTTAAAAAAACCCTCGCCTTACTCTGAAAGAAACATGGCAACAGTACAACATTGCTGATTCTTTGGTAGTGATAAAAGAGGTGATGGGTGATATAAAATCAGCCACTCTTAAGCTTGCTGGAAACTGTGGGAAGATATGTGAATGATGATGCATTTTCCCTAGAGCTAATGAAGAAGTTAAAAAAACTTAGTGTCTGCAAAACAGGTGGGTTTAAGATTCATTGATATCAGGGAAAGTGAAATTAGTGAGCTACTCAAGTTTCAATCTTTAGTCATAACTGAGACTCTGTGTCCATAGGAAGAAGTCTTTGCAGACAGAGGAAATTGAATGCTGTCTGATGCCAGACCTCAGGCCTCACTGATGCTGCAATTGATATGGATCCTTTCCTGGATTAAAGCTTGGCTTTTAAAAAAGATTTCAATAAATTGCTTATACCTATAAAGAGATGCAGAAGAACCTTCAAAATAAAGCAAAGGACTTGGAAAGAGAAGACATGAAGAAGAGGATGTCATCTAGGTGAAGGTGATGGATACAGAATCTGAGTCTGAGGGGAAATCTGACTTTGAATCAGGATCCGATAAGGAGCAGGACAAGATGGAGGATAAGAAGCTGCCAGAAGAAAAGCCTGGACCCTCTGGCATGGCACTCAGAGTCTTGATATGTCTGAAGAAACTGTCCAAACCATTAATGTGAAGTTGAACCTTTGGAATGTAACCTTCGAAGTGAATCTGGAGAGAGTAGGGGTACCTGAGTCGAAGGACGAAGAGGTTCCAGAGACCATCCTTCCCTTGTTACGCTAACATCATTTTCATAATTACCATCATCCTTTTCATCACCAGCCACACATCCCTATCATTTTAGTCAGGTAACAAACATTGCGCTTAAACTCCGCAGGGTCCTGAGCTAAACTTGGGGACATCTGCTCAGGAAATCATCTCAGGATCTGAGGTAAATGGTCATTAACAGTTCCATTCTTATTAATGTAATAGCTCTAAAAGATCATGGTCTTGATTTTAGTGACTTAAAATACAAAGGTTTCCTTAGGACCACTCAGCCTCATTTTCTCTAACCATATTCTATAGATAGTAAGTTCTTCAATCACAAATGTAGGTTTTCAGAGTTTACATTGGTAGTTGACAAGAGACTACTTGCTCTTGAATGACATGGCCTTACGTTTTATAAGCGGTTTCTTTTTTTTTTTGAAATTGAGTCTTGCTCTGTTGCCCAGGTTGGAGTGCAATGGAGCAATCTCAGCTCATTGCAACCTCCACCTCCCGGGTTCAAGTGATTCTCCTGCCTCAGCCTCTTGAATAGCTGGGATTACAGGTGTGTGCCACCACGCCGGCTAATTTTTGTCTTCTTAATAGAGATGGGATTTCACCATGTTGGCCGGGCTGGTCTCGAACTCCTGACCTCAGATGATCTGCCTGCCTCGGCCTCCCAAAGTGTTGGGATTACAGGTGTGAGCCACTGCACCCAGCCACATTTTATAAGCACTCTTAATGTTAATCTTCTCTGTTAATCCTCACTTCAGACCTATGAAGGAGATATTAGACCTTCCTTTATGAGAAAAATCCCCTGAAAGCACACAGAAATTAAGTAACTCGCTTGAGTCTGCACAACTAACAATATAAATGACAGGAGTAGGCCTACAACTGATTAACTATTGGATTTTGTCAGACACTTTGCTAAGAAGTATATTAGGCCTTTAAGAATTTCTAAGGCCGGGCACGGTGGCTCAAGCCTGTAATCCCAGCACTTTGGGAGGCCGAGACGGGCGGATCACGAGGTCAGGAGATCGAGACCATCCTGGCTAACATGGTGAAACCCCGTCTCTACTAAAAAATACAAAAAACTAGCTGGGCGAGGTGGCAGGCGCCTGTAGTCCCAGCTACTCAGGAGGCTGAGGCAGGAGAATGGCATAAACCCAGGAGGCAGAGCTTGCAGTGAGCTGAGATCCGGCCACTGCACTCCAGCCTGGGCGACAGAGCGAGACTCCGTCTCAAAAAAAAAAAAAGAAAAAAAATTTCTAATCCCAGGGAACAAAACAGATAGGTGAACAGGTAATGACAATAAATGCAGAGACTGTCAGCTGGCAATCTGCAAGCCAGATTTGATTAACAGATGTGTTTTGTTTGGTCAGCCTAGTTGAAAACAATTTTGAATTGGTTTCCAGTATTTTGCCCTCTCTATTTTAAGATACTATTTACATAAAATTTGCCAACTTAAAGTGTGCTGTTTGTTGAATTTTTAAAACACTTGTGTTACTCCTGCCACAACTAAGACATAATTCTCTTAAACAGTTTACTTACACTTTTCTGCTCTGTATCCCTACCCCTAGAATTGTCATTTTTAAAATGAGGATACTTCACATTAAAAAGCTGGATTAAAAATTTGGAAATTCTGATAACAGTGGAGTCTGTATTCAGAAGGGCAACAGCCATTAGCTTGCTGCTTTTCTTATTTGTTACTGCTCCCCATAGTTTATGCTACCACAAAAGTGTGTGCAGGCCGGGCACGGTGGCTCACACCTGTAATCCCAGCACTTTGTGAGGCCGAGGTGGGCAGATCACAAGGTCAGGAGTTGGAGACCAGCCTGGCCAATATGGTGAAATCCCATCTACTAAAACCAAAAATAAGCCAGGCGTGGTGGCGTGTGCCTGTAGTCCTAGCTACTTGGGAGGCTGAGGCAGGAGAATCGCTTGAACCCAGTAGGCGGAGGTTGCAGTGAGCTGAGATCGCGCCACTGCACTCCAGCCTGGGCGACAGAGCGAGAGTCTGCCTCAAAAAAAAAAAGTGTGTGCAAAGTGCCTTATGGGCAGAGAACTATGGGAGTATCTTTTGGATGGCCTGGAAAGAGTTCATTAAGGACAGAAGTAGGGATTAAGAGTGTTCTAAGCCAAGGAGAATTAGAAGGGAGATTCTGGGAGGAAGGGGCCAGAGAGGCAGCCATGTGCGTGCTTCTCTTGTTTGTTTTTGTTGGTGGGTTGGACCTCTTTAAAGTGGAAGAATTTTGTGTACGTGTGTGTGTATGCTGTGGATTCTGAAGGTTTTGTGTTCTTAACAAAAGTTTATGTCTTTGGGGACGTCCCAAAATTTTGATTTTTTAAAAATTGTTTGAATGGAAAGTGAAAATAGTGTATTTTTGCAAGGGTTGTAGGTCTGGTATGGTGCTTGCATTGTTTCAAGGGTGAAGGGTGTCCGGTGGAAATTCCTCCCTCTCTTTGCTGCTGCCTCCACTGTCTCTCTCCTGGTGTCCTTCTGGCAAGCCTGGCAGACCAGGCCAGGGAGGAACAAGGAGGCATTGGTGGGAGAGAGGTTAGTTTAGGCCCTCAGTGCCCGCCCACTAGCACCTCTGCCCATGGCTGCCATTCACTGCCATGGTGCAGCTAAATTACCTGTGATGCTCTGGACAGGCTGGGCTCATGATGCCCTCTGCCAAGCTGCCTGCGGCCCTCTGTCCTCATGTGCCTCCTGGTGAGTGCCCTGTGCCAGCAGACTATGAACTTCTTCATCCCTAAACCCCCAGCTTCAGGACTGAGGGGAAGGGAAGGAAGGGAGAAGGCAGACAGATTTCTCTTTAATGCTCCTGGGGATCTGTGCTGGAGGCAGCTAGGTAAGGGCAGTGAATTGTTTGGTCCTTGGAGGCACCACTTGGTGTCCTGCAGATTGTGGGATGTTTTTCTAATTTTACCAGGAAACTGTCACTCCCAGCTACTTGGGGAGGAGTGACTGGGCTGTGTCATTGCTAGATGGAGGAGGGGAAGGGGTGTCTGCTGGTGAATCCTTGTCTAGGCATCACGTAAGAGGTTATTTTCTTCTATTGTAGTTACCATCTCATTTTTCTGTAATTGTCTGGGGGGCTTTGTTTTCTCATCTTGGAAATATCTTGAAGTGTTAAGGTTGGAAGTGACTACAGAGTAACTCCAGAGGTGGTGAAGGGGGCAGAAAGAACCGTAGGGGAGGGTCAGAAGCACAGGGTTCCAGCTCAGCTTTGCTGCTCACCTTTTGGGTGATTTCTCCCTTTCTTTGGCCTTTATTTCGTCACCTGTAAAAACTGGCACAAACCAGTGGACCTTAACTGTTTTGGGATTGTAGGTCTCCCTGAGTAGTTTTGTGAAAGTATATGCTGTCTATCCCTGAACTCCAGCCTCAATCTACTCAATAACCCCCTGAGGATGGGGGCCCAGGTCTCTGAATTTTTAAATACTTGTATAGATGAGTCACATTTAGCCAGTTTGGAGATCAGTGTTGGGAAATTGAGTAGAATTTCATCCTACTATTTCCTTTATATGCCCATCCTTTCTCGTGATGTATTCTTTTGCCACAGTCCTGTGACACAGGAAGGGCCAGTGACCTTGGTCATCTTAGATTTGCCCTTGTTGATATTCTCAGGGTAAATGTCTTTCCTTTCCCCTGATGGTGTTCTTATACTGTCTTCTGATCATCATTGCTGACTTTGTTTTCAGCATCTAAAAGTTTCCATAACTGTAAGGCTTACTTCTTCCCTGCAGTCTTCCCTGTTTTTTAGTTATTCATTCATCGGCACTCGTCTTGGAAAGTCAGTGATCAAAATAGCACCAGTGTGTAGGGATGAGCATTGGAAGAGCTCAAGCAGAGAAGACATAGGAGTTTCTGCAGGGCTGTCCTGGGGTGGTTCTTGATGAGGCCAGCTGGGGAATAATCTAGGTGGCAGATGTTGGCACACTATAAGAAAAAGCATCTTGTGAAAACCTTTAAGTTAGATGGACTTCATCAAGAGATGATGAACCTCCCACCTCCAGGAGTGTTCAGGCAAATGTGAGATGCATGCATTGGACCAGATGACATGTGAGGCCTTGGTCAACTCTAGACTTGTTTATATAGGTTTGGAAAGATTTTAAAGTTTTCTCCTCAGTAGGTCACTTAGGTGGGCCAGGTTTGACAGTTCACTGAGCTCCTCTTAGGAGCATCATAATTTGGTTTTGTTCCCTTCTCCAGGTACTTTTGGGAGGGAAAAATAGAAGCCACTAACATCCTGTTGGTGAGTGAGGATGTGAGCATTGGGGGGGGGTCGGTTTTTTTTTTTTCTTTTTTGAGACGGAGTTCCGCTCTTGTTGCCCGGGCTGGAGTGCAGTGGCGCAATCTCGGCTGACTGCAACCTCTACCTCCCGGGTTCAGGTGATTCTCCTGCCTCAGCCTCCCAAGTAGCTGGGATTACAGGCATGCACCACCACACCCAGCTAATTTTGTATTTTTAGTAGAAATGGGGTTTCTCCATGTTGGTCAGGCTGGTTTTGAACTCCCAACCTCAGGTGATCTGCCCACCTTGGCCTCCCAAAGTGCTAGGATTACAGGTGTGAGCCACCAAGCCTGGCCCATAGGAGGTCTTGATAGGGGAGTGAGTGAGACCATGGCCTTTTTCCAGGTTCCAATTAAAAGTCAGCAGAGATAACTGATTGAGGTGTTTCCCCACATAAGATGCCCTGGGTTCATTTGTAAGCTAGTGACAGGGCCTGGTGACCCCGGAGGAAAGCTGTCTCCTAAATGACCAGATGAATGAGCAGTGGCAGCACTGGGGATCAGGCCCTAAAGCAGCAGTTTTTAGTTTTTGTTTGTTTGTTTTCATCTATAGTTAATGAAGACAAAGACTTCCAGGGTCTTCATGCTGTCCATCTGCATCAGGTAAGGTTGGCATCTCTTCTCACTCCTTTACCATAGGACCAGCCAAGGTACTAAGGGAATGACCTTGAAAAGCTGGAGACCTGAATCCCAGCCAGTCACCTTCTATGTGATTTTGGGCAAGTCCCTATCCCTCTCTGACCCTCAGATTCTCCATCTGTATAATGGGGGGCTAGAATAAGATAGTTTAAACCAGTGGCCTTCAAAATGTTGGTCTTAGAACCCCTTTACACTTTTAAAAATTGAGACCCAAAAGAACTTTATGGGTTATATAAAAGTTTACTGTTTTAGAAACTAAAACAGAATATAAAAATATTTTTATTTCATTTAAAATGATAAAACCATTACATATTAACATAAATAATGCATTTTTAAGGAAAGTAAGATTTCCTAAAGACAAAAAAATTTAGAAGAATGACATTTTACATTTTAGCAGATTCTGGCTTAATAAGACAGCTGGATCTCCTCTGAAACATCTTTAAATTCTGGGACACTTTAAGCTCATGGTGATAAAGTCAGGTCTTTCAAAATTTAGTTTTGTTTGAAAACATCAATTTTATCATTGGCCATACATGATGTAAATTGTCTTTATTTGAGTGGTGGGCTCAATTTATTCATATTTGAGGAAGTGCCTACCTAATACTCAAGCCTGAAGTAACTATAATTTGTAGAAATGACAAATTATGGTTACTCGGACTTGAAAGTAAAATTGGTGTTCCACCAAAAAAAAAAAAGTTTAACTTGTACTAAAACAATCAGACACGCAGTGAACTTAGGCATGTAGTAGAAATGCTTTATGTGTACTTCCTACCGGTGTTTTGTCACACAGAATATTGAAAAGGCATGTACACAAGGATTGAAATTTAATTAAAGTAGTAATTTTGCCTACTTCATCAGAGATGCGAAGTGAAATTGACTTTTTAAAGTCCAACTGTGTGGCAGTGAAGAATATAATGACAATGAGTACAGGTTAGTGTCACTGTCTCAACTCATGCTGAAGTGCCAGCAGTTTTACCTTTTTTTTTTTTTTTTTTGAGACGGAGTCTCGCTCTGTTGCCCAGGCTGGAATGCTGCAGCATGATCTCAGCTCACTACAGCCTCTGTCTCCCAAGTTAAAGCGATTCTCCTGCCTCAGCCTCCCAAGTAGCTGGGATTATAGGTGCCTGCCACCATGCCCGGCTAATTATTATTATTATTTTTGTCTTTCAAAGACAGAGTTTTGCTACGTTGGTCAGGCTGGTCTTCAACTCCTGGGCTCAAGTGATCCACCTGCCACGGCCTCCTAAAGTGCTGGGATTATGGGCATGAACCATCACACCTGGCCGGTTTTTTTTTTTTTTAACCATTAGTGCAAATGTCAACATAGTAAAAGAATAACAAAATAATATTATGAAAGTAGTTTTGGCCCCAAGGACCCCCTAGAGTCCTGGAGATCCCCCGGCGTCAGTGGACCTTCACTTTGAGAACCTCTAGTATAAACCTTTATCATTCTGTCATTCAAAGTGGAATTTTTGGAATTGGCATCACCTGGGAGCTTTCAAGAACTGTAGAATCTCCTGCTCACCCCAGACCTACTGAATCAAATTATAGTTTAACAAGACCCCCAGGTGATTTCTCTGCACATTAAAGCTTGAGAAGCACTGGTCTAAACCAGTGTTTCTCATAACTGCCTGCTATGTATTAGCATCATTTGGACACTTTTTTTTTTTTTTTTTTTTTTTTTTTGAGACAGAGTCTCGCTGTGTCACCCAGGCTGGAGTGCAGTGGCGCGATCTCGGCTCACTGCAAGCTCCGCCTCCCGGGTTTTACGCCATTCTCCTGCCTCAGCCTCCGAGTAGCTGGGACTACAGGCGCCCGCCACCTCGCCCGGCTAGTTTTTTGTATTTTTAGTAGAGACGGGGTTTCACTGTGTTAGCCAGGATGGTCTCGATCTCCTGACCTCGTGATCCACCCGCCTCGGCCTCCCAAAGTGCTGGGATTACAGGCTTGAGCCACCGCGCCCGGCTGGACACATTTTTCAAACTACCAATTTAGGCCCCACCTCACAGATTTCGACTTAATTTGGCCAGGGCGGGGATCAAGTATAGTGGTATTAAAAAGCACCTTTCTTTTTAGATGACTCTAATATGGTCACCTGAATCTTCTCAGGTTGACTCTAACATAGGGCCAGAGATGCAAACCCACCTATATGGATGATGAAACCTTTTCTTTACTTCTTAGGGAACTAGGATTCTGTGAATACATGGTTACATCTGGGTCTCAAACTAGCTATAGAGGGGGCCCTTATGATACCACCTCCGCAGAGGTGAGAGAGTAAGGAACCATTGGTAGAGCCAGTACTGTGAAGAAATTAAATTTTTTTTTTTTTTTTTTTTTTTTTTTTTTTTGAGACGGAGTCTCATCTGTATCAGACTGGCATTCCTGATGGCCGGATCTCAGCTCACTGCAAGCTCCGCCTCCCGGGTTCGCCATTCGCTCTGTAGCCCGGGCTGGACTGCAGTGGCCGGATCTCAGCTCACTGCAAGCTCCGCCTCCCGGGTTTACGCCATTCTCCTGCCTCAGCCTCCGGAGTAGCTGGGACTACAGGCGCCCGCCACCTCGCCCGGCTAGTTTTTTTGTATTTTTAGTAGAGACGGGGTTTCACCGTGTTAGCCAGGATGGTCTCGATCTCCTGACCTCGTGATCCGCCCGTCTCGGCCTCCCAAAGTGCTGGGATTACAGGCTTGAGCCACCGCGCCCGGCTAAGAAATTAAAATTTTAACTGGTGAGGGACAGCTTCAGGGTTAAGAGAGTTGGACCTCCTACCTTGAAACCTGGCTCCCCACCTGCCACTTGTTCCATAGTGCTTGGAAAATATGAATACTTTCTGTGCCTCAGTTGCCCCTTCTGTAAAATGGGGATTATACAAATGGGTTGTTATGCATATGGAAATTAATATGTGAAATCCATATATGAAATGCTTTATCAGTCTCCGCTCTTATTACTGTGTTAAAAATGTCTTTGAATTCTGTATGTCTGCTTATAAAAACACGTAAGTTAACAAAATTCATTATCTTCAGGCACCCAACTTACAGAATGTTTAAGCATACATGTGAAGCAACATGTGAATGTATACATGTGCTGTGATTTATTAAGCATGTTATGGGAAGTTTAAAATACCTCATTCAGCAGAAAGGAGGCAGAGGATTATAATCCTCATTTGACAGATGGGACACTCTGGTCCAAGTCCTCATGTTTCTTCAGCCTAGAAAGTGAAGAGAACTTGCACTGTGTGACAACGGCCAGGTGAAAGAAACAGGAGAGGAGGAGATTCCTCTAGACCTGGATTGTCAGGGAAGATCCCTTGGAAAAGGTCAATGGTTGAATTGGACCTTGAGGGATAGAGAGGTGTTTTTTTTTTTTGAAGCAAGAATAGGCTTTTGATTGATCAGCAGGAGCAGGTGGAATCTAGGTGGGCAAGAGAATACAGAGATATTGGTGGGGGGATTGTTTTGGGAAGCGATGTGCATAAGATAATAATAAAAAGAGTAGCTAGCATTTAATGAATGCATACAGTGCCAGCTGGTGTACTGGGTAAGTGCTTTGTATACTTTGTGTTAATTAATCCTCAGCAGTCCAGTCATGTAGGGCTTTTTTTTTTTTTTTTAAGGAGCATTTGAAGAAAACTAAGTGACTTGTCCATAGTCAGACAGCTAGTAGGGGCAAACTTAGAATTTGAACCCACGTCTGTAAGACTGTAAAGCTATCTGGCCTAACTGGCCACTTGTTGACAGATGGGAAACATAGGCTAGAGAGTGACAGGCCGTGGACCTGGACAGGTGGGGTGAGGCAGGTTGCAGAGAGCCTCCCATGAGGCTGGCCAGTTGGGTTTTATCACATGAGTTGATTCTAATCATAGTCACTCACAGGGCTTTGCTTTCTCTCCAAAGGCTATACATACTTTTGAAATCCCAGAGGTCTTCAGTCTCCCTGTGGGTCAAGGAGATGTGCAGTATTTAAAGTGGATTGAGGACGGCATGGAAGAGGATTGAGTGGGGAAAGCTTTTTGTGCATTCTGCTGGCTACCTCCAGCGGCTGCCTCCAGCCTTCATCAACTGCACTCTGGGGAAGAGGAGGGCACCTTCTACCTCCCAGTATCTCTGGATTCCATGTTCCCGTCGGCACGGAGGAGCTAAAAATGGCCTGTGGAGGCTGAAGGTCTGAGGCTCCTAAAGCTGGAAGAAAAGGCTGGGCCAGTCAGGCCAAGCAAGAACATAGTGTAACTTGTCTCTGAGTGCTTCATGGTTAAGGGGGATAAGGGGGCACGAGGGCACGAGGATGGTTACATGTAGTGACTGAAGGGAAGACGCAGTGAGGGTGAGACTTGTCATCTTGAGTCAGTAGGCCTACCTCAAGTGCCTAGGATGTAATTGCTTTGCTGCTTCTCATGGGGAGGAGTGGCCCTAGTGACCTTGTTCACCTGGAAGAGTGTGGGATGAATGTCTCCTCCTACGGGGACTGGCAAGTGCTTTATCAAAAGGATAAATTGCTAATGGTGGCATTTCATGGATCAGCAGGATTATTTCTCCTTGCTAAAGAGGCTTTTGTTGGTCCTGAATTCTGAGGAGGTGGGACTAGGAATGGACTCCATGAACCTGTGTATGACTCAGGGAATATTAGGACTTTGGCACAGCCTCATGGGTTGGCAGTAAGTCTTGGCTCTTCCCTAGCCTGAATGACAGATATCAGATCGTTCTGGTGTTTTGTCAGTGAAGATGTAGATTCTGAGCGCACAAAACTAACCTTTTCACTTGAACACAGAAATAGCCCCAGGAATCGGACAGACCTGTGTCTTTAGGTTTGTTTCATAGAGCCCCAGGGGTTGACAGTAGTACCTTGGGGACTGCCTGCATGGGGATTTTTTTAAAAGCGTTCTTTGTTAAAGGTTTGTAAACCACCCCTCTGAGCCAGTTTTCATTTTATACATTACTGCAGGAAACTGAACTGCATGGAGGTCCAGAAGGTGGGTAGTGCAGGGTGTAGTGCTGATAACTACTGTACTTCTTGGATCTTCGTGCTCCCAAATACCAAATGGAAGACAATCTCTGAGAGTCCTTTGCAAAGATCTTGTAGGGACTTTAGGCTGGGGCCTTTGGAAAGTTCCTGAGGATTCCAATGGAGATTTTGAGGGATTGTCTTAGAAGAACAAAGAGAATGATAATGGTGATGTCCCTGCTTTTTACAACAGATCATGTTGTGCTATATATGCAAACCTGTGTAAAGTAAACCCTATCTAAAATGTGCTGGGGACCCAAGGTGGACTGCCTGTATTGCTTCCAGGATAAAGTCCAATTTCTAGCTCTGGTTTTTATAACCTTGCTTCAGCTCACCTTTTCCGTCATTATCCCCTGCATCTCCTCTCCCACGCTGGGAAATGGATGGCTCCACTATACTGTGTGATGTTATTGCTATGTTCATGCCGTCCCCTCTGCCTGGAATGCCCTTCTGCATGAATGCCTGTGAAATGTTGCTGCTCCTTTGTATGGCCTGGCTTCCATGGTTGGCAGGAATCTCTTTTGTGGTATTCCTGCCATCTTTGTGCATCAGAGTCAGCTTCGTATTCCTAGATTGTAAGCTGCTTGAGGATAGGGGCATGTCTTGCACCTGTTTGGCAAATTGATGTTTAAAGTATTTAAATAACTAAAGCTCTCTCTACAGTACATAGTCACTTTTGATTTATGGAATTGGCAAAATTAAACTTTTTTCCTTGAATATTCTTAAAGTGAGACTAATTCCAAAGGAGATTTTTCTGTCTGTGGCCTTCATTGGGTGGTTTGCTGTTATCAGAAAGCTCTTAGTGGCCTTCCTCTTCCCTGGTGTCAAGGTTGACTGTAATAGGAAATGGGAGGGGAGAGGGCCATTTCTGCCAGGCATTGTCATAGGTTCTTAACATTATATCCTTATAATGCAATGTTTTCCTCACTTTACAGATGAAACCTGAGACCAGAGAACATGTAACATGTAAAGTACATGGCAGAATTAGGATGTGAACCCAACTCTGATTCTAAACCTAATGCTCTTACTCTTTCATTCAGAGGTTCAGTCAGTTCTTTGTAGGCCATAGATCCAGAGAAGCTGCTGTAGCCAACAATAAAGTTGTTAGTTTTTAAAACATCTATATGGTGTTGGTCTGGCACTTAAAAATGTATTGTTTGCTGGGCACGGTGACTCACACCTGTAATCCCAGCACTTTGGGAGGCCAAGGTGGGCGGATCACGAGGTCAAAAGATCGAGACCATCCTGACCAACATGGTGAAACCCCGTCTCTACTAAAAATTAGCTGGGTGTGGTGGCACATGCCTCTAGTCCCAGCTACTCGGGAGGCTAAGGCAGGCGAATCACTTGAACCCAGGAGGCAGAGGTTGCAGTGAGCCGAGATCTTGCTACTGCACACCAGCCTGGCAACAGAGCAACACTTCGTCTAAAAAAAAAATAAATGTGTTGTTTACTACTCACCACAGATCTGCAGGAGTTCACTGATCTCTAGGGTCTGCCTTAATGCCAACTTACGTGGTTTGGTCACTATTACAAACCGTCATCCCAGAATGATGATGCAGAGGCTAGGGCTAGGACCCAGACCAGTGTTTCCACGTGGGAATTCCCTCCCAGTATTTCTTCGGAAATGTATGTTTTTTGAATCCATAAACCCTAGAAAAATCAGTTGAGGAAATGAGAAGTATTGTAATTATTCTGTGAATACTAACACCATTATAGAGACATTACTAGTTTGAAAGAATCCAACTTCATCAAATACTAACATACTGAATTGAGGGCTGTAAGAACTGAGACAGGAGTATAGCAGAGAGAAACAGTCACCATCTAATTAGCCCTACTTTTGATTGCTGTGATGTCATTACGTCTGTATGTCTGGCCATATCAGCTGCTAATGGTGAGTTCTTGCAAATAAAATGATTTGATAAACAACCTACATACTTTATACAAATCTTATGGTGTTCTGAGAAATAAACTTTGGAAGCAAAATAAGTTAACAGTCTGGACACGATTGATTCTATATTCTGTTTACCTTGCTCTAGGATATTCAAATGTTATATTTATTTGAATGCTATCCAATATATGTTGCCTGGCGTCTTCCTGTCCTTTAAATATTCTCTGTACGCTACAGTTCTTTGTAAGTAAAAATAGGCTTAATATGTCTACTTAGTAAACAGAGTGTTTCCAGATACCTATGATAATGAAGAAAAGAGTATAAAGAATGAAGTATTTTAAGAATAACTTATGATTTGGGGGATTTCTGAGAATTCTACTTCCTTGTCCCTAAATTCCAGAGGTAAATGTTAGTTGTGAATTTGGAAATACTAGACTACAGAGAAGCAGGCACTCTCTAGCCTGGGAGGCCCACTGATCTTAGGAGGGTCCATATAGCTGCTTCTTGTAGACCTTGCACTAGAACCCAGGTCTTTTGACACCTGGTGCCACTTTTCATTCCATTCCATTAATTATAGCCCAGAGAATAACCACCACCCCCCCAACTCCCATTGTGGTTTTATTCTGAGGACAGATAAAAGATTGAAGCTGATGGAGTGGTAGAAAGAAGTGGGAGCCACAGTGAATGAAGACGTTTAAGGGCAGATGTTAACACCACTAAGCCCTTCACTCGGGATTACAGGCTACACTTTCCCCCTCAAACTGTAGAATTCAGTGGAATCCATGGCCTTTACCTCTCTATAGATGATCTTTTTCCTACCCCTTCACATCTCCTGTTTTTTTCCTCTCCAAACTGCCCTAGATTTAGAGGTTTATTTTGAAGTAATAATCACACACAGCAAAGTCTCTCCCAACACCTGGGGAGCAGATGTGCTGGGATTATCACTGGCATTTGAAGGGTGAGAAAACTGAAGGAAAGGAATCTGACTAAAGTGGCACAGGTTAGAACTAGCAGAGTCAGGTCTAGAACTCATTTCATATTTCTAGAATTGTGTGATGATGTACTGATAAAGTTCTTCGGTGCCTGGACCTAAGTATTACAGTAGGGTCAATTTCTAAGTTCATTTTCCGTCTTTTACCTCTCAGCGGCCCTCAACTAATGTTTTTTGCCCCCACAGGTCGGGTACTCGCAAAAGATTCCATATTCTCTCTGGCAGTAGGGGTGAGAATGTTGCTGGCAGTGGTAAGAGTGGCAAGGTGGCCAGAGGACAGGGTCCTGCCATTCCTCCTCAGCCTCCAGTAAACCAAGAGCAAAAGCCAGAGCCAATTCCTTCTGATACTCAGCAGCTAATTCATTACAGGGAAGACAGGTAATTGTTCAAAGGGAGCTTTTAAATCATAAAACAGACACATCAATTATAACTTTAACAAATGTTATTAAAAGCAGCAATTAAAAACCATGAATCTTTTTGAAGGTGCAGAGGGTTATAAGGTCAGTTGGCAGTAATGCAGCTATTATCTGGTATGAATGAAATGCTGGGGTGGGCAGTCAGGGTGACCTCATTAGGCCTTGTGCTATCTTCCCAGGTGGTGAAGACACCCCTTCCCCGCTTTTCCCTCTCCAAGCCCAGAGCCTCCCCAGAGCCCAGGTAGGGAAGGTCCAGGTGTACTGTAACAGGATTGCTCGTCCCAGGCTATCTCAGAAGTCTGGAAAGCAGGCCTAGGAGGTTGGTGGGCTCTCTGAAGCCAGGCAGGAAGCTACAAATTGAATCCCAGGTCCCACAGCACCCCTGGGCTAGGGGCTAGCTTCTCAGCTCCCCTTCCACCTGGCCCCAGTTGGCCCCTGTGGCAGCAGCTGTGGGGCTGAGAAGGGGGAAGAACTGGGTCCAATGCCAGCTTATCTATGCCTGGGCTGTGCCAGGGAAGCAGAGGAAAGTGGATGGGCTATGCACAGGAGGTGAGGTCCCCCTTAGAAGGCACTGTGGGAGCTGAGGTCTAAGAAGGGGGACATCTAAACTATCTCAGGGACCCCCTGAACACTCACAGGTAGAGAGGCGTCAGGCCTAGTAATGGAAAAACAGCTCCTGCAGGCCTGCTGCCCCACCAGTGCCTCTTCCTCTACCACTACCTTCGCCTTCCTGCTGGCGGCCTGCAAAACCAGCCAAGCCGGAGGCCACAGCAGCAGTTGGCAAGGCTGGTCCCCATCTGGTGCCCACCCTCCACGTCAAGGCACTTTTGTCCACTTTCCAATCAAGTGAGTCAGTTTCTAATATCTCTGGAAGCAGCAAAACATGAGGGGTCCTCTTCCCCCTCCCAATTTTGGTTTCCCTCCAGATGAGGCAGAATTTGAATGTTGTTCCAAAAATTCTCTTTCAAACCCCCACTGGCAAGGGCTTCCCTTTGAGGGAACTGAATGATGCAGTCCCTTTAAAAATTTCAACCTATCCCAAAAAGTGATTGTCCATTTCAGGGCAGGGCAAGGGATATGAAAGAGGGTGAGTCCCCTGTGCTTCCCTATGGGACCAAAGCTGGTTGATGGGCTGAAAGAAGGGGCGGGAGCTGAGCTTTCACATTTAGTTGCAGCACTTGGGCCCTGGAAGTGGGCCAAGAGAAAGCCAAGGGAGGAGCCAGCAGGCCCAGAGGGACTGTGTGGCTCTGTGTGTGAGTACACTTGGGCATGTGGTGGTGTGGCCGTGTGGGGCTGTCTGCGTGCCTGGAGCTGAAAGTACAACACATGTGGATGGAAACTTGTGGGAGTGGGTGTATATTGTCTGCTGTGTGGTGTCTGGTGGGTCTGGGGGTGGGAGGCACCAGAAACAGGTTTAGCATGACATGGTTTCCCTCCTACCACCACTGCCCAGCCCCGTCCCCCAGGTCTGGAAGGATGCCTCCATTCCAGCAAGGCCAGGCCCAGCTCTATGGAGACTGAGGGGGTGTGGCCAAAGCTGACACTGGCAGCCTTCACTCTCAGCCTGGACCCTGGTGCTGGTGCCTTCTGAGGCAGACCCAGCCCTTCACTCTTCAGATCCTCGCAGGCTTTCACAGGGGCTTTCTCCCACCCTACCACCTCTCTCCAAGGGCAGTGGGGAGTGGCAGGAAAATGGAAGAGAACAGCGCTGAGCGGCATCCTCTTATCCATCTTCTCCCAGGCTCTCTCAAAGGTGCCTGTTATGTAGTCCCTGGGAGGACTGGCTGCCCCACGGGTCAGGTGTAAAGGGTATCCAGTGGAGGGACAGCTGTGCACACACAGGATGTGCAAACACACCCAAAAAGGGGCGAGAGAGGTCAAGGCACACAACTGGGGACAAAGACCTGGGCCTCAGGAGGAAGGGTCCCAGAGCAGGGGACTCAAGGTCAGAGGAACAGATAAACAGAGTTTGAGGGGTTGTGGAGTGTGTAGAGACACAGGCACAGGGGTAAAGAGCCTGAGGAGGCCCTGGTACAGAGCTGGTACAGCAGAGAGACGCAGGCCTTGGCCTGGCAGGCAGGCAGGCAGGGCCTTCTGCCAGGCACTTGCAGCTCTGTCCTGCTTCCTTCTCCCACCCCAGCCTGGAGAAAGCTGGGGAGCCTATGGCTTCTGCTGCTCCTCCTTTGGTTTTCAGGACCCCTGGCACCCCCGGGGGCTAGTCAGTAAGGGGTGGTCCCTTCCCACTCCACCAGGTACTGAACCTTGCCCTCAGGTGTGACCCTCCGAGCCAACACCTGGTACTTCTCCCCACAGGCCAACCGCCCAGCTGCACCAAAGTAGTTGGTGATAGATGACTTGAGGTGGGACAGGGATGAGTCATCTTCACTGATGCTCTCAAATGTGTGGCTGTCAATGCCTTCGTCTGGCCGCTCGGGGACCGAAGCCCCCTCTGCACTGCTGTCCGAGGGGCAGCGTCCATCCAGCTCAGCTGCCCATCGCTTTGCCCGCAGGGGCATGTATGCCTTGGCTGCCAGCTTCCTCTTTCTGCTGCCCACTGTCCATCTGTATCAGGAGTGGGAGAGGAAGATGATGAGAATGAGAGAGAACCATCAGGGTAGATTCCTCTCCCTGAGCCCTCCCCTCAGTACCAGGAAAGTGGAAGAGAACAGCGCTGAACAGCATCCTCTTATCCATCTTCTCCCAGGCTCTCTCAAAGGTGCCTGTCATGTAGTCCCTGAGATAATCTATTCCCAAGGCATAGATTATCTCACCAGATCCTCACAAGAGCCCTGCGAGGAGGGAAACTGAGGGTCCAGAGGAG